CAAAAGGCATCCAAGAGGCTCCCAAAACGACTCACACCACGACGAGGGCCCCGAACGACTCACACCACGAGGAGCCCGAACGAGTCACACCAGGAGGAGGGGCCCGAACGACTCACACCAGGATGAGGGCCCCGAACAACTCACACCACGAGAAGCCCGAACGACTCACACCAGGACGAAGAGCCCGAACGACTCACATCACGAAGAGCCCGAACGATTCACACCAGGAAGAAGGGCCCGAACGACTCACACCAGGACAAGAACCCCCAAACGACTCAAACCACGAGGAGCGCTTTCTCTCCCTCCTCCTCCGCCTCGTCCTTCTCCCGCTCCCACCACCAGGAGGATGTACAAGGAGGCGGGAGGAAGGAGGAACAGGAGAGATATGCGGGGGCAGGCGGAAACACGCCTGAAAAACACGAGTGTCGGCATGCTTCGCAAGAGTTGCTGCTTTGAGATGGGCTGGTGGGGATACGCGAAGCGTAAAGAATTTGCTTCTTCTCGGTATTCCGACGGCTCAAGACGGCCCAAGAGGCACCCTAAATCGTCCAAGAGGCCCACAGGAGGGCCCCATGACGGCCCAAGTGGCCTCCAAGACGGCCCCAAGAGGGCCCCAAGGCGGCCCAAGAGGCCTCCAACACGCCCAAGAGGGCCTCCAAGACGCCCAATATGGCCTCCAAGACGGCCCCGAAGCGCCCCAAGAGGGTCTCCCGTTGGCCCAGAAAGGCCCCCCAGAAGGCTCCCGACGGCGTCAGACGTGCCAGGAACTCACCAAGATGGCCGAAGTTGGCTCGAAGCTGGCCCAAAAGAGCCCAAGAGGCCCCCAAGAGGGCCTCCAGGAAGGCCAGAAAAGGCCAAAAAGAGTGATTGTCCTAAGGTTTTTGACGGATTGTGACATTTCCTTCTTTTCGGCCTTCCGACGGCCCGAGACGGCCCAAGAGCCCCCAAAGATCGCCGAAAGATCGCCCAAGAGGCCTCCAATATGGCCCCAGAACGGCCGAAGAGGGCCCCAAGACGGCCCCAAGAGGCCCCCAAGATGGCACAGGAGGCCTTTAAGACGCCCAAGATGGCCTCCAAGACGGCCCTGGAGGGCCACAAGTCGGCTCAGAGAGGCCCCCCTAAACGGCTTCCGACGGCGTCAGACGGACCAGGAGCCCACCAGACGGCCGAACATGGCCCTAAGATGGCCCAAGACGGCCCAAGAGGGCCCCCAGGAAGGCCCGAAAAGGCCAAAATCATTGATTTCCCATGGGTTTTTCAAGGATTGTGGCATTTGCGTTTTTTCTTTTTTTTTTTTTTCCCTTTTCTATCCTTTCTGTTTTTCCTGGTCTTTTTTTTTTCCTTTTTTTGCTGCCTGTCGACGGCCCAGACGAGAATAAGGCCCAGAGTGCCCAACACCAAAGATCTTGCGGCCCAAGGTAGGCCCAGAAGAACAATCTTCCCCCAAGATTGCCCCCCCAAGACGCTCAAGATGGCCTCCAAGACGGCCCAAGAGCCCTCCAAGACGTCCTCCAAGAAGGCCCGAAAGGGTTAAAATGGCCTCCACGCGGCCAAGATAACTGTCAAGATGCCCACGTGTTCCCCGAAGGCTTCCCAAACCGATTCGGGGAACACATGGTCCGATGGCTTGGCAGGTCTGGCCTCAACGTTCGGCCACATAGGCGCTTCCACAAAGGCAGGGGGCGTCGGTGATTCGCCGTAGGCGTCTTCGATCCGCCGCCTCCTGTTGATTCATCACAGGGGTGCCTGGCGTGCTGAACCCTTTCGGTTTGGGTTTTGGTTCTTTTCCAAAAGAACTCCCCCTGGGGCTTCGGCCCGTCCCGCCGGCCACCCGAAAAGATTGCCCAGGACCTCAATCCCCCCAAAAATCCGCCAAGACTGCTCAAGTTGGCCTCCAAGATGGCCACGTTGGCCCAAGGTGGCCTCCAAGATGGTCCAAGGTGGCCTCCAAGTCCGCCCAAGATGGTCTAAGACGGCCTCCAAGACGGCCCAAGAGAGTCTAAGATACCTCCAAGGTCGCCCGAGAAGCCTCCAAGACGGCCCGACACAACCCAAGAGGCCTCCAAGAGGTCCTCCAGGAGGACTCGAAGAGGCCAAAATCATTGATTTTCTTTGGGTTTTTGAAGGATTTAGGCATTTGCTTCTTCTCGGCATTCAGACGGCTGAAGACGGCCCAAGTGCCCCCAAAGATCGCCCCAAGATCGCCCACGAGGCCTCCAAAATGGCCCCATGACGGCCCAAGAGGACCCCAAGACGGCCCCGAGAGGGCCCCAAGACGGGCCAAGAGGCCTCAAGATGGCCTCCAAGACGGCCCCGAAGCGCCCCAAGAGGGCCCCAAGCCGGTTCAGAGAGGCCCCTAAGACGGCTCCCGACGGCGTCAGACGGGCCAGGAACGCCCTAAGACGGCCACAGAGGCCCCCGAGAAGTCTCCAAAAGAGACCCAAGAGGCCCTCAAGAGGCTCCAAGCGAGCCCAAGATAGCACCAACATGGTCTCCAAGACGGTCCCAAGATGGCCCAATCGAGCCCAAAAGTGCCTCAAAAGGCTCCGAAGAAGCATCCTCCTCCCTTCTCCTTCTTCCTCCCTCTCCTCCCCTTCCTCCTCCCCCACCGTGTTCCCCGAACGCTTTCCAAACCGATTCGGGGAACACATGGTCCGATAGCTTGGCAGGCCTCTGGCCACAACGTTCGGCTACATAGGCGCTTCCGACAGGGCAGGGGGGCGGCGGTGATTCGCCGTAGGCGTGTTCGATAATGAATAATGAGAGTGGCAGCGGAGATCAGAGTACGCTCCATCTCACACGTTGAAAAGTGGGTCCACCCATCGACAGGCGAAGAAGGCTTGCGACGGCGCAGCACCTAGATCACTGCCTCCTCACAAAATGAGGCCAACAATTACGAAGAAGGATGGTGACGCTGAGGAGGAATGTTTTTGTGAACATTTCTTATTCGGCGTTTCGACATTGGGAGGAGGGGGGGGGGTCTGGCTCCGGACCTCTGCTTAGTGCGACTGTTTGCAACAGTGCGTCCGATGGGGGAGACCCTACCTGGTCAAAACAAACGCCCAAAACAGCCCAGATCCACTCCATGGGAGGGGGGAGGGGCGAGGGCCCGCGCCGATCGGCAAAGCAATGAATAAGAAAACGAACACTTTTTCTGACGTTTTGTTATGTTTGTTCGTGCCCGAACCCTCCTTACCATGTGGTCGCTGTCCAGGCACGGCGGCAAGCGAGGGCGGGAAATGAGAAGGAGAAGGCCTTCTGAGAAGGCTCGGAAGTCCCCAGGCCTTCTGCGAAGTTGTCCAAGCCTTCCTCGAGGACCAACAAAACTTCTCAGGAGCCCCGAGGGCTTCTGAGAAGCAACGCCGCCTTCTCAGAAGGCCTTCTCCTTCTCGCCTCTCCCCTCGCTCGCCGCCGATTCGAGGTGGGCTTCGTCAACATCCCGAGACACCCGAGCTCTAGATGGCCGAACTTCGCGCGTCGCGCCCCGCGATGCGCGACGCTGGAGGGGCCCAGGCGCACACAAATGAATGGACACTAAACCCAGCATTCCCAATGTTACCCGATGCTTCTCGATGTTCGTCTTCCCCCCCCACTTCCCATATTTTCTTATGTCTTCCTGGGTATCGACGACTCTTTGCGTCAGCGCTTTCTTTCCCTCCTGAGACGCGCCCTCGTCACACCGCCTCTTCAAGAGGCGGCCCTCTGGCCCAGACCGCGAGACGTGCGAAGCGTTATGTCATACTCGCGCCCATGGGGGTGCACACGTGGCGCAGCTTCTTCCCTCCTTCTCCTCCTTCTCCTCCTCCTCCTATCCTAATACTGCTCCTCCTCCGCCTCCTCCTCCTCCGCCTCCTCCTCCTAATCCTCCTCCTCCTCACTCCTCTCCTCCTCTCCCCTTCCCCGTTGCCATAACCCTACCCATCACACCCCCCCACCACCTGTCACCCCCAATCCCCACCACCTACCCACACTACTAATACTCCTCCTCCTCCTCTCTCCCTCATCATCCTACCTCCTCTATTCCTCCTCTCCTTCCCTCCTCCTCCTCCTCCTCCTCCCTCCCCCTCCTCCCCCCTCCTCCACCATCCTCCCCCTCCTTCCCCTCTCCTCTCTCCTCATCCTCCTCCTTCCTCCTCCTCCTCCTCTCCTCCCTCCTCCTCCTACTCCTCCTAAGCCTTCATCTACCCATTCCCCCCCCCTCCACCTCTCCGACCCTCCCTCCCCCGCCCTCCCCACCCCTCCCCCCCATCCACTCCCTCCTCCTCCTCCCTCCCTCCTCCTCCCTTTCCTCTTATCCTCCACACTCTCCCTCCTCCTCCTCTCTCCTCCCTCCTCCCTTTCCTCCCTCATCCTCATCCCCCCTCCTCCATCCTCCCTCCTCCCTCATCCCTCTCCCTACCTCCCTCCTCCTCCTCCCTGCCTCCCTCCACCTCCTCCTCCTCCTCCCTCCTACTCTCCTCCTCCCTTCCTACCTCCCTTCCTCCTCCTCCCCCTCCCTCCTAATCCCTCCTCCTCCTCATCCCGCCTCCCCTCCCTTTCCTCCCCTCATACTCCTCCTCCTCCTCCTCCTCCCCCCCCCCCCCCCCACCCCCCCCCCCCCCCCCACCACCCCCACCAACCCCCACCCCCCCCCCCCACTCCTCCTCCTCCGACGGCCCGCCTGGCCTGCCCGGCGCCCCGACGAAGCCGTGCCAAACTGCTGGGTTCCTCCGCCTGCTTATGCTCTCGTCCTCGCCCCCCCCCCCCCCACAAATCTTGCCAAAAATGTTCGGCGGTGGACAAACCTCCCCTTTAGTAAACCTCCCCTTAGTGAAAACGGCCTAGGACCGAAACCGACGGACCTGGACCCGCAAAAATGACGGCCGCGACGCCCTCTCGCGAACCGAAAACGGCCAAGTTCTTAATCGACGTGACAGGGTTGCAGGTCTATCCACCCCCGATCGTCCTCGCCCCCCCCCCGACGAACAAAACACATGTGGTGTCCCCTTGCCCCGCGTCTCCTCCGGCCACGAAGCTGTCAGCGACTGCGCCAACAGGTTGCGCACGCGTTCCGCGGTTTCTGCGGGGGGGGGGGGTAAGAACAGATGTGCAGTCAAAATGGCGACGGCGGCGATGCCTGCTGCGAGTGCAGGGATCATGGTGAGGTGAACTGGGAAAACGAAGGCATTGAGAACAAGAATGCTGAGAAGGACTGGAAAGACTCCGATTTGAACAGCAGATGATAAAGGTTAATGCGAACTCGAAGCCACCGCAAGGAATCATAACGCAACCAATCGGCCTCGTTGCAACTCCCCCGCCATCGTGTTCGAAGGATCAGACAAGTCTTGCACGTGCTGGAGGAACTTAAAGAGTCGAGACCGCAGGAATTTGAGGATTTCAAGTTCCAGGGCGACGACCCCAATTCTCCTAAAATTTTGAGCGTTCCCGGAAGCTCCCAGGATTACCCCCGAGATTTCCCCAAGGCCAGAGAGCACCAAGACGGCCCAAAAGGGCTCCAACACTATCCAACAGAACGCCGAGACGGCCCGAGAAGGCCACCAGACGAAAACCAGCTGTTTCTTCCGCGTCGATTTCTTCCGAACGACTTCTTCCGAACGACTTCTTCCGGACCACTATTCCGGACAAGTTCTTCCGGACCACTTCTTCCGAACCAATTCTTCCGAGCGATTTCTTCCGAGAACTTCTCCTCCGCCTCGTCGGTCCTCCTTCACCTACTCCGAACGACTTCTTCCAGACGGCTTCTTCCGGACCGTTCCGCCCCACTTCTTCCGGGCGACTTCTTCCCGAAACATTTTTTCTGGACGGCTTCTCCCGAATGATTTCCTGGCAATTTCTTCTGGACGACTTCTCCTGGACGACTTGTTCCAGACGACTTATTCCGAAACGATTTCTTCCGGGCGATTTCTGCCAGGCGTTATTTTTGTTCGGACGAGTGCTTCCGAGCGAGTTCTTCCGAATGACTTCACCCGAGCGATTTATTTCGAGAACTTCTCCTCCGCCTCGTCGTTCCTCCTCCACCTTCTTCGAACGAATTCTTCTGGACGACTTGTTCTTGACCACTTCTTGCGGGCTGCTGCTTCCCACCCTCGTCCTCCTCCCCCCCGTCGTCCTCCGCATTGTCCTCCTCCTCCTCCTCCTCCTCCTCTTCCTCCTCCGCGACCTCGTCCTCTTCCGCAGCCGCAGCTACGTTCCTCCATCCCCCGAATCGCCGTCTCCGAAGATAGCCCAAAAATTGCTCCAGAGAGCCCCAAGAGACACCCAAGAGGCCTCCAAGCCGGCCTCGAGACTGGCCCAGGCACAACCGAAGAGCATCCAAAGAGCGACCGAAACCCGAGATTACTTTTTGACAACGTGGAGATGGCGGCCCGCAAGATGAAACGGGGCAAAACGCGCGGCTCGGACGGCGTGCCCGGAGACCTCTGGAAGGCCGTCGCTGCGCCAGGGTCGCCAACGAGGAGATGGGCGACGGCTGGTCCCAGACGCCTGGCACAAATCGCTGGTGGTCGCAATTTTCAAGAAGGGCGACGAATCACTACAGGCCAAGATGACTTCTGCAAGCCGGCTACAAGCTCTACACCTCCATCTTACTGCGTCGCCGGCAGGCAGCCGGCGCCAAGTCGCGCGTCTGGCCGACGTAGTTTGGATTCAAGTCGCAGGGCGGAACCACGGCCAATTTCATGGCGAGGCGATTCCTGGACGACGCGTGGGAAGCGAAGGATTCGCACTTCGTCTTCCTCGCGCTCGACTGAGCCAAAGCTTTCGACATCGTCGACCCAGCGGCCCTGCAGGCTCTGCGCCGCTTCGGGCTGCCGGACAAGATGCTGAAGACCGTGGGTTCGATCTAAACTGGGCGACGCTTCCCTGTGCGAGACGCTGGACAGACATTTGCCTCGCGAGAGCAGACGGCAGGAATCTGCCAAGGATGCCCTCTCTCCCCGCTCTTGTTCGCCATGGTCATGACAGTCCTCCTGACCGATGCGAAACATGCAATGCGGGCGGTTGCGAACGAGGTCGACGACCCCGTGTACGCAGACGACACCCTGATCTCGGCCACAAACAAGGACATTATGCCGAGCACATAAAAAACATGTTTGAATGCTGGCGCCAACTACGGTCTGTGTTACAATTGGCGGAAGCTGGAGGTGCTGCCGGTGCGGTGCCAAGCGACTATCTCGAAGCCAGATGGTCAGCGAGTTGTCCAGAAGGGAAGCATCGTGTACCTGGGAAGCGTGCTCTCATCCAGCGGCAACGTCGGCGCTGTTCTTTCGAGAAGGCTTGGGGCGGCGAGGTCTGAGTTCGACAAGCTCGCTCGCATATGGTCTCATAGCCTTATGTCCGCAAACAAACAACAAACATATGTTCAACGCATGCGTAATGTCAAAGCTTTTGTACAGCCTCCACACAGCATGGTTGAAAGCAGCAGAACTGTCGAACTTAGGCGCTTTCCAAGCTCGCTGCTTGCGCAAGGCATTAGGTACCCCGCACTGTTACATAAGTCACGTGACAAATGCTTCAGCGCTTGGCCAGGCGAGGTAGAGCTGGCTGGGCAATGCTGGAGCGACAACTTACGCTTCTGGGCGAGATGGCGCGCTTGGGCGACGGCCACCTCTTGCGCGAATGTTTTCTTTTCGACCCGGAAGCCACCCTCTGACCGCCGGCGCGGTCGCCCCAGACAAGTGCGGGCGCGCGAAAATTTAAGACATGATTTATTTTTTTGCACAGTGTTCATTCTTGTTTCTTATGGACCAATTTCTGTATTTGTACATTTGTATTGTTTCATGTTGATTGTTTATTTCTTTTGCGGGGTAAAGAGATCGCCTTCTTGCGATAGGTCGAGGCCGCTCAATGTATAAACACGCTGTACATGCATGTACACAAAGAAATATCAATGTTTCAAAGGACGCTGCCATGCTGGCCAGCGTCTGGAAGAGCACGGCAAGAGGGTACAGCCGCTCTCGCAAGGTCCCTTCCATTGCTCATGTGCGCGTCACACGTCTGTTCTCTGCCTCCTTTCCGTTCCTCCTTTCCCTCTGCCATCCCCCTCTGGAGAATTGCCCAGCAGAGGGGTCTTGCTGTGCAATTTGTATCATGAGTTTGAGGGGTGAATTGTAAAAGTCCGAAAGTTAGATATGCTTTCGCCATTCCGTGCCTGTCGTGTTTTGCATGGCGCCTCACTGCTTCACAGCCACGCCGCCAGCAGTGGTTCTTCTTTTACCGCTTTGCCAACGCACATTTGACGTGCACGGCACGGCTTCTCTCTCTCTCTTTATCCCTCACTGTTTCTTCCGCGCCGTCTTCTTCCGAACGACTTCTTCTGGACCACTTCCTCTGGGCGACATCTTCCGGACCACGACTTCTTCCGGACCGCTTCTTCTGAATCACTTCTTCCGGTCGATATCTTCTGGATGACTTCTTCCGAACGATCTCTTTAGAACGACTTCGTCCGAACATTTCTCCCCCGCCTCTTCGTTCATCCTCCACCTCTTCCTCCTACTCCTTGTCCTCCTCCTCCTCCTCCCTCGATCTGCTCCGCGACAATCTCTTCCTCGAACAGTCTTCCGCGACTTCTTCCAGGCGGCTTCTTCTGGATGACTTCTTCCGAACGATTTCTTCCGGACGACTTCTTCCAGACCACTTCTTCCAGACCACTTCTTCCAGACCACTTCTTCCAGACGACTTCTTCCAAACGAATTCATCCGAAACGATTTTTTCCGGACGATTTCTTCCGGAGGAGATCTTCTGGGCGAGCTCGTCAAAAAATGTCTTGTTCCGGGGCGACTTCTTCCAAGCGACTTCTTCTGGAAGAATTATTCGGACGTTTTTTTCCGATGATGACTTCTTCCTGGATGATTTCCTCTGGGCGAGTTCTTCCGGAATGGTCATTCTGGGCAATTTTTTCCGATGGTGATTTTTTCTGGGGCGCCTTTTTCCGGGCCCCCTCCTCCAGGCGACTTCTACTGGACGAGTTTTCCCGGGGGTGAGTTCTGCCGAACTTCTTCTGGCCCCCTCCTCGCTCGCTCCTCCTCCTCCACCTCCTCGTCCCTCCTCCCTCATCCCTCCTCCCTCATCCCTCCTCCCTCCTCCCTCCTCCTCTTGCCTCTTGCCGCCGCTCCCTTCTCCCCCATCCTCCCTCCTGCCTCCTCCGTCCTCCCTCTCTCCTCTCACCTCCTCCTCCTCCTCCTGTTCCCTCCGCCCTCCCCCCTCCTGCCTCCTCTCTAGCCCCCCCGTCCCTCCTCGTTCCTCTCTTCTCTTCCCTCCTCCCTCCTTCCTCTACTCGGCACGCGGCAACGCCCTCCTCCCTCGTTCCCCTGCTCGGAATGCGGCAAAGCCTGCGGGCTGGAAGCTGAGAATATTCCACTGCACTCGCCACGTGGCCACGCCTGGGTGGCGGACAGATGTGCTACCCGGCTCTCCTCGCGACGTGGCAACGCCTGCCGGACTGACACAAAAACGGTACTCCGCGCGAGCTGCCAGCGAAGGAAGCGACCAGGGAGCGAAACGCGAAGTGTTCCACTCCACGACTCGCGCCACGTGGCAGCGACTGCGAGGCGGAACACAGATCTGTTTCGCTCTACTCGTCACGTGGCAACACCAGGGGAACGGAATACATACTGCTCCACTATCCCTGCCACGAGGCAGCGTTCCGAGGGGGGAACATAACTACTCCACTGTAGTCACCACGTGGCAACGCCTGCGGAGCGAAACAACAGTACTCCGTTCTACTCGGCACGTGGCAACGAAGCGGGGCGGCAACAAATGCTACGACTCTCTACTCGCCGCATGGCAACGCCACGTGGCAAGGCCTGAGAGGTACACAAAAAGACTACCCCAATCAACTCGGCACGTGGCAATGACATAGAATGCAAGGCAATGCCGCGCGGACCGAACATAGCCAGTCGCCACGTGGCAGCGTATGGGGTGTTGGGGAAGGCGAAAACAAATAATCCACTATATTCTACACGTGGCAACGCCGCGGGGCAAGAACACATAGAGCGCCACTCCGTTCGCAACGGGGCAACGACAGACTGGCGAACAAAATGCAATATGACTTTGCGCGCA